TCGTGAGAAGGAAAAAGGTATTCTAAACCAAAACCAACAAATTACAGGGCTGCTGTGTTATCAGTCCCACTCAGACTGTGAGTAAACCTTAAACAAAGTAGATCCTAATTTGCAGAAAACACACTGTTAAAAACAGACAGATGCAGATGTCACAGTTACTAAGTCCAGCAGACCACAAGCTATATCAGCATAATGGTGAACGAAAGAAAAACACTGCCTAAAAATGGTCTACACTGGTTAACACATTCAGTTTCTGATCTCAGGGGCAGGATTCTACTTTGTTCAAGGTACATTCTGCCAAACCAAGAAGTACTATTTCCCAGGTAAGGTTTCAAAAAACCTGCTGGAAAGGATGCAAGTGTAAGTTAGTATACTCTGGGAAGGATGCCTTGCCATGACAAGCCTATTGTTCAGGTAAATGTTGCTGGCTATCTACTTCAGGAGGTCACAAAGCCTCCAGGCTCTTAGAGAAGCCAAACAGGCAAAAAGTGTGCGAACTGCTCCTCTGGAAGAAGTGCTCCCGGCACCAAAAAGCTGGCGTTGGTAGAAAGTGCAGCAAGAAGCAGAGAGAAGGACCACAACAATGGTATAAATTCAGTTTCTTTTTTACAGCTTTATTGAAATAGTATTCACATACTATACAATTTATTCATTTAAAGTACACAATTCAATGTTCTCAGTATATTCAGAGTTGTGCAACCATCACCAGTATCAACTTTGTAACATTTCCATTACTCCAAAAAGAAACTTTGTACCCATTTCTCCCAAATCCTCCCAGGTCCAGGCAACAACTAACCTACTTTCTGTCTTCATAGATTTGCCTGCTCTGGACACTTCATATATAAGTGGAACCATATAATTATGTGGTCTCTTGTGACTGGCTTCTTTCATATATTTCACGTTTATAAGGTTATCCATGTTATAGCACGTATCAGTTCTTCATTCTTTATTGCTGAGTAATAATCTACTCTATGGATATATCACAAGCAGTAGAGTCTCCACAAGCAGCAGAATCTCTTTTGCCATATAAACAAAACTATAAACAGTGATTAGACTCTACATTAGTCCATAAATGCCTACTTCATCCACATTGTAGCTGAAAACATATTATTAATTGCATAATACTACAATTTTCTAGAAGCATTATCAATTGCCACAGTGATAACTGGATTAATATAGGAATGAAGCTCCTTTATAGTTAATTGCATAATCCACCCCCCCCTCCCCGTAATTTGTAGGAGGAAGAGACAACTAATTGCAAGCCCTAAGGCCTGAACACCTCAGGACCTGTTCTTTGACCCCACCCAACTGAAAACAAACGGCAAAACTCCAAGTATACAGAGCTGGTCTCTATAACTTCCTTCTCTTCTTGCTGGGCCCTTCATTTCTTCCCCCTCTCTTTGAAATACAGTTCCTTCTCCCCTGGCCAGTTTGGCTCAGCGGTTGAACACGGACCTGCGGACCAGAGAGTCCAGGGTTCGGTTCTCGCTAGGGGCACGTACCACAAAAAGAAAGAAAGAAAGAAAGAAATACAGTTCCTTCTGTATGCTTCAACCCCTCCTACTCCCAAACAAAACAAGATCTTTTATACCTGATGACTAATTACAGCCTCACTTTAAATTAAAATAATACATTTATATGAAATTGATTTTCTAAGACATTTATCTCCCAGGACATGAAATGAGAATTAGTTTCCTTCAAATGAAGAATTTCCAGTAGAAACAAGCTGTTAAGGGGAGAGTTTTTGTATTGTTTTTGTTTTTTTGCCAAGAGACCCTCTCAAATCACAGTAAATCTAGTCCATGACAAATTGAATTTACAGTCCTCTTAGGGTAATACATATCTAGGAGGGTGGAAAAAAATAAGGAATTGTTATAATTTTGTTAGGCATGATAATGGTAGTATGATTATATCTAAAAATATTCTTATCTGTTAGAAATGCATACTGAGATATTTAAATAAAATGATGTGCTATCTCATATTTACATGATAATACTTTAGGTAGTTGAAAGGAGGATATGGGGGAGGGGAAATGAAATAAAATACTGATCATTGTTGAGGGCAGCTGATAGGTGCATGAGAGTTCATTATTCTTTTTTGCTTTATGTACATATAAAATTTTTCATACTAAAATACTTTTTAAAAGAGATAAACTCTTCCTCTCAGGTAGTCTTTTGTTCCTTTCCATTTCCTTCACAGCATTTACTGTTGTCAATATATATTTCTGAAATTACTGGATTAATGTTTGTCTGCCTAACTAGACTTGAAGCTCTATAAGGACCACAAAGGTGTTTTCTTAGCTCCCATAGAATCTCTACCACCTCACAAAGTTTCTGGCATGTGACAAGTATTTATTAAGCGATTGAGTCAATAAAATAAATTTTATGTACCTAGGTCAGTAAATGCTCAATAAATAAAAGAAAGTGAGGAACAGAAAGCCAGGACCTTTGGTTGAAGGATTTCAACATATTCACCTATATGTATTTAGCATTTAAGTTCACATGCTTTTCCATTTAAAATGTAGTAAAGATACAAAAGATTTTATTTCATCTAACTTATCCTTACTACAGTCATGTGGTATATATTCAGCTAAGAATTACAATCTGTACTTTACGATATGCAAGGAACCAAAAAGTTGTAAAACTTTTTCAAGGTCATAATGAAAGAGATGTACAAATAAATAAAACTCGGCTCTTGTTCATGCCTCATGCTGTTTTTAAAGGAACATGATTTTATTCTCAAAAATAAAAATAAGAAAGGAAAGTAGTACTGTATATATTAAATCAACCTTCAGTGGCTGAGAAACTGAGTAGCTGTAAGTAGCTGTAAGCTCAGCTGAAAGTATTTTATTTTGACTTTGCTCAAAATAATTTTGAGGTTGAAGCACTACTGGTAGAGGATGTATAAAAAATCATAAGGTGAGACATTTAGGCAACAGGGAACAAAAGAAGATATGACACTTGAGTAATATTAAGGCCTTATTTTAACTGGTTAAATTGACAACTAACAAGAAAATTGATAAAGAAAATATACAGAGCCCGGCTGGTGTGGCTCAGTGGTTGAGCCTCGACCCATGCACCAAGAGGTCATCGGTTCAATTCTCAGTCAGGGCATATGCCCAGGTTGTGGACCCAATCCCCAGTGGTGGGCATGCAGCAGGCAGCCAACCAATGTTCTCTCTCATCAATGTTTCTATCTCTCCCTCTCCCTTCCTCTCTCTCTAAAAACCAATAAAGAAAAAAAGAAAAGAAAAGAAAAGAAATAGAATATCAGGACAATGTTTAAAACACCAGTCTCCTGGGTTCCAAAGTTTTAATTTTATCTCAAATAATACCGTAATCAATAACGTTCCTGTTTAATCATTACTTTACATAGAAATAGCCTACTAAAATATCACTATGCCCCAAAACCCTTTGAAATGCTTAAAATCTGTGTTCACCTTAATTTGGTAGCAGATAATGGTGTGTACAATCAGAAAGGCAGAAATATCAAATGTTTACCATGAATAGAAATAGTGGTAAAATTAATCTTAACCTCGGCCAATCTGAAAGATCTTGTGCTATGGTGCCAAAAGAATGTCACAGCCAAATCTGTGGAGAGCATTTAAAGCTAAATCAAAGTCTAAAACAAAGTCTGCCATGAAATCTAAAAAATTAAATAAATAGCTAAGTAGTTTTAGTAAAAAATAAAATTTTAAATAAACCAATAAACTTATTTGGGGGATAGAGTCTGGAAGGGTATTATTTTGCCTACATAAAGGTACTAACTGGCCTGGGTTGCTCCATGGTTACTCAAGGCACAGTTGCTGTACTACTGGCTACAAAGATGCAGGGGATTCAGTTTTACTCCTATACCCATCATATATATCATGGATTGTCAAACCATGCTTCCAATCTGCAGTACATCACTCACGGCAGGGTAATAATTTACACATGCAATTTCCAAACATAACTGTAAGATTTACTTGCCCAATGGTTATTTCTTCTCAACTTTTAAAATAATTTATAAAAGCACCAGCTGAGCATGAATTCCTGTCCCAAAATTATCAATTCCTTTAGGCCTTTTCATGTAAGCGGTAAAAAAAAAAAAAAAAATCTGTCCTCTGCAGGCAATACAGCTAACCCACACCAGCCATTGATTTGTAGTTGTTTTTCCAATGGGGTGATGGATCTGCGCTCAGCTACTCACGGTGTCTACTAGGTCCCCCTGGTGACCAACAATACATGAAGGCAGTAGCAGGGTTCGAAGACACAGACTGGCAGCGGAACAGAGGGTGGAACGGAAATCACGAAAAATTAACACGCGAACAGTACACATGACATGACTTAGAATAACGTTTGCACTGCTGGGGTATTTGGGATCACCACCAGACACTGTCTTCTTTCCTTTCGAAAAGCAAACACCCATGCGACTCGTTCGGGTTTCTGAGCCATACCTCCCATTTAAATCACGGGTGATGGAAAGAACGAACCAAGGAGCTCAGCACACGCCGCTTCTCGGGCGTTTGGGGAAACACCGATGTGACAAATTGCCATAATTTTCTAAAATATGGAGGACTGACACACCACCTTACCCACCACTGACTGAAGACCCAGGACACAGAGTCGGGAACAGCCGACCTGCGGGGCCCACCAGGGAAGGGGGAGAGCACCAGATCTGGGAGAAGACCGAGGCACGTCCCAAACCGACTGCCGAGCCCCGACTGCTAGGGGTGTCGGGTCGCACCCGAGTCACATCTCGGGGCTCCTGGGATGCGAGGGGTACCAGGGCGAGCCTGGGCCGGGTGACCGGGGTCCCCGAGCCTGGCCGGCCCGGGGCAGCGGTGGGGACGCGGGCAGCACTGCCTTGGGGGCTGCGGCGCCCGGAGGAGGGCGCGCCGCCAGGTGCCGACAGCAGGGGGCAGCGGGGTTCGGGCGGGCGCTGACCCAGGGAAGGAGGAGGGAGGCAGGCAAGTCCCGCTCGGCGAAGGGGGGCGCGCGGCGGGCTCGCCGCCGGCCTACCTGGAGGTAATAGGGTTTCCTTAGCCAGGCCCCCGGACAGAGACTCCTCGCCATGGTAATCATACATCGCCCCGCCGCGCCGCAGTCAGAGGCGGACCCGAGCGCTGGCGGCCCGGCTCCCCGCCTTCCCCCGCCTCCCCGCCCCCAGCACGGCCGGGCCCGCCCACTCCTCCGCCCCCGCCGCGGCGCGCGCCTCCTCCCGGCTCCGCTGCGGTGACGGCGGCGCTGCTCGAGGCCTGCCTGGCCTCCCGCTCTGCACCCCGGCCGTCGCGGTTGTCAGAGCCTCCGCTGCTGACTCTGCCACAGAAGGGGGTTGCGCCTCGCCTCGGCCGACACAAACCACTGCGCCTGGCGTTTAAAGGGGAAGCGTGCGGAGGAGGAGGAAGGAGGCGCCGCGGAAGCCGGGGTGTCGCACGCGCCGCGTGGGGAGGGGCGTGCGCCGCCGGCCCGGAGCGCCGACCTCTCGGGCAGAGGGGAACTGGCCGGCGGCTCCTGGCTCCCGACGCTGCGCCCGCTGCCTCCCGCCCGGCCGCCCGGCGATACTGACGCTCCCATTGGACTGCTCCTTCGGTGCGGGTGTGCCGGGGCCGTTTGCATGGAAATTCAAGGGAAGCTTGGGACTCCTTCCCTGGGGACGGGCGCCTTCTCCCTCGCGCACGGCGGCGGGTGCGGCTGGGGAGGGGGCGTCTGCCCAGCCCGAAACGCCGGCGGGCGCATCCCAGGACTGGGCTCTTCGCTCCGAGCCGAGCGCTGCGGACAGGGCTCCTCGGTGCTGAACTCGCCGTGACCCCCGAGTCCAGTTTGCTTCGAAGGGCCTTAAACTATTTTTTAAATGTACTTCTAAAAAATTCCGACCGTTTTAGTTTATATTGTTTCAAACAGCTTCAGAGTTTTCCTGGCCCCACCCAGGAACCCTGATTCAAAAGAAAAATATTACCGAATTAAATACAGTCCTGAAGACCGGAGACCTGGGACGTGGCAAAGCTACTCAGTTAAGGCTACAAAACTCAGGGTGTGGTGTCTTTCTTTTGACAGTGAAATCCAAATAAGGGCAGACAGACACCCTAGTGAGAGAACGCCTATTAATATGGGTGACCCGTAGTGACGGAAGATGCGTTTTTGCTTTTCGCCCCACATACCACCTCTCACGTGATTCCAACAAAGTTTAGGTGGCCATTTAGAACTCACTCAGGCCTGTGGCTCTGAGAAGTGGTTTCCCCAGAAGCAGACCTTGACACAATCTCACTGTGGCTTTTACCTAAGCCTTGCTGGATGCTTTACATTTCTGAAGAGATACATTCCTGTCCACTCCTCCCCAACCCGTGTTCAGACACAGGTTTTAAACCTGGGCAGTATTTTACTGCTGGCAGATAAACTCATTTGATTTTCAGTTTCAGTGAAGAGACTAGTAATTTCTGAGTAAGCTAAAAATGGATCCTGTTGGTTTAATTCATTTTTTTATTCATTCAATAAATAAATATTAATTGAGCACCTTGTTTTAGTTGGTTGGGTTATATATGTGAACAAAACAGACAAAAACTCGGCCCTTGCAGATACTACATTTTGGATGAGGGCAACAGACAATAAATACTAAATGTAATAAACAGAAAAATCAAATAGGATGATAAAGCCAATAGGGGATATGAAAAAAATATCAGTGGAGATGAAGAAGACTACACATAGAGTAGGTTTGAGAAGAAAGATGAAGAGTTTATTTTTGGACATTTACATTTGAGATATTAAAGTCCAAGTGGAGATCTGGAGTAGGTAGCTGTATATATGAGCCTGGGCTTAAGGAGAGTGGTCCAAGCTAGAGATTAATGAAAATGCCAGCATTTAGATGGTATTTGAAACCAGGAGACTAGACAATATCACCAAGGGAGTGTATAAGTAGAGAGAGTACCAAGGATGAAGTCTTGCAGCTTCAAGATGGGAGAAGTGAATGAGCCAGCAAAGGAGCTGGAGAAGGAGGAGCCAATGAAGTAGGAGAACCAAGAGTGAGTGCCTAGAAACCAAGTGTAGGTAGTGTATCAAGGAGGAGTGAGTGCTAATATGTGATTGTGAACTGAAACTTGACCTTTGGATTTGATACCATGGAGGCCAATGACAACATATCACTGGAGCAAGGGGGAACTTGATTGGAGTGTGGGCCCTGGCCAGTTTGGCTCAGCGGTTGGAGCATAGGCCAGCAGACCAAAGAGTTGCGGGGTGGATTCTGGTGAAGGGCATGTACCTTGGTTGCAGTCCAGTCCCCGACCCTGGTCTGGGTCATGCAGGAGGCAACCAGTCGATCTCTCTCTCTCCCTCCTTCCCACTCCATCTGAAAATGAATGGAAAACTATCCTCAGGTGAGGATTAAAAAGTGGGAGGAGTTCCCTGGCCGGTTTGGTTCAGCAGTTAGACAGTCGGCCTTCGGTCCAGAGAGCCCCGGGTTCCGTTCCTGCTAAGGGCATGTACCTTGGTTGCAGTCCTGCTGGTGGCGGCCACTCGATGTGTCCCTTTCACGTCGATGTTTCTCTCTCTCTCTCTTCCTCTCTCTCCCTCCCACTCTATCTGAACAAAAGAATGGAAAAATGTCCTCGGGTGAGGATAAAAAAAATTTTTTTTAATAAAAAGTGGGAGGAGTGGAATTGTAGATGGCTAATATAGGCAATTCTTTTGAGAACTTCTGCAAAGAGGAACCCAAAATGAGATAGTGGTGATGGAAGTGAAGTGAAAAGTAGGTTGATAGCCCTGATTGGGTGGCTTAGTTGGTTGGAGTGTTGTCCCATATACAAAAGGTTTCAGGTTCCATTCCCAGTTAGGGCACATACCTAGGTTGTGGGTTCTATCCCCAGTTGGGGTGTGTACTGGAGGCAACCAATCGATGTTTCTCATATTGATGTCTCTTCCCCCCCTTCCCTTCTCTCTAAAAAATCAAGTGAAGATTTTTTAAAATTAATTTTTATTCTTTTGAGTTAATTTATTTTTGTTACAGATGTTTCTCCTTTTTTCCCCCAGATACCCTCCTCCCTATCCTGCCCCCCACCAAGCATTGTTGTCTATGTCCATTTGTTACACATACATGCATGTAAGTTCTTTGTTTTATCTCATCTCCCCTGCCCCCCCTCTAATTTTTTTTTTAGAAAGTTGAGCCCCACAGGTCTGGCTCAGTGGATTGAGTGGTGTCCCATGGACTGAGAGGTCCCGGTTCAATTCCCATTCAGGGTACATGCCGGGGTTTTGGGCTTGATCCCCAGAAGGGGGCATGCAGGAATCAGCCCATCAATGTTTCTCTCTCTTTCTCTCCCTTTTCCTCTCTCTCTAAAAAGTCAATAAAAACATATTTTTAAAAAGTAGGTTGACAAAAACATTGGGAGAAATATTTGTTTCTGATGAGGATGATCTGGAAGAGAAGGGAAAATTTTACGTAAGAGCAAGAAGAGAGAATTTTTGGAGATGTTTCCTTGAGAAAAAAAAGAATTTAGAATCCAGCACACAAGTAAATGAATAATCTGCAGACAGGAGCACAGACTGACTGTTCATGTATGGAAACAGGCAGGCAGGTGGATAGGAGTGGTTGTAGGAATCTGTGGATATTCTCTCTTGATTGTTTCCATTTTCTCAGAGACCAGAAGTAAGGTTGTCAGTGGAGAGGAGGTGGGGAAGAGTAATGGAGGCTTGGGGAGAGAAGCAAAGGTGTAAACTAGTCATCTAGAGACTGGAAAGATGAATGGACTAAGAAAAGATATATGATGCTGAGTGTAATAAATTTAAGTGGGACAAGTCAGTGTGTTGTGCTTTTTGTAAAAAAAAAAATATTGATTGATTGCCCTGGCCAGTTTGGCTCAGCGGTTAGAGTGTCGGCCTGCGGTCCGGAGAGACCTGGGTTCGGTTCCCGCTAAGGGCACGTACTTCGGTTGCAGTTTGTCCCCGGCCCTGGTTGGTCGTGCGGGTGGCAGCCACTCGATGTGTCCCTTCACGTCGATGTTTCTCTCTCTCTCCCTTCCTCTCTGTCCCTCCCACTCTATCTGTACAAAAAATGGAAAAATATCCTCGGGTGAGGATAAAAAAAATATATATATATATATTGATTGAAGAAGGGAGAGAGAGAGAGATAAACATCGAATTGTTGTTCCACTTATTTATACATTCATTGGTTGAGTCTTTTATGTGCCCTAAGGGTGATCAAACCCTAAACCTTGGCTTATAGGGATGACACTCTAACCAACTGAGCTACCCAGCCAGGGCTTGATTGTGCTTTTTTAACTCCAGCAATAGTCAGCTGCCAGAATGAAGGCTCAGAGTAGTCTTAGAATTCTATTTAATCAGCTTTTACCAAGGAAATAAGAGTAAGGAGAGAGGAGTGAGAAAGTTGAGGGTGTAAGGGAGTGATTATGATTCACCATGGAATTTAAGATGAGGAACAAGAAGATATGGAGATATTAGGGCAGAGAAAAGGTAGTAGGATCAATGAATTGCAAGTCCTTGTTGGATTAAGGGACAATAAGAGTCAGAACAAGAGAGAATGATCTGGAAAGATAGGAGGTGTATAATAAGGAGTCTGGATCCTGCCCTGGCCAGTTTGGCTCAGCAGTTAGAGCATCGGCCCACAGACTGGAGAGTCCCGGGTTTGGTTCCCACAGAGGGCATGTACCTTGGTTGGAGTTTGTCCCTGGCCCAGGTTGGGGTCGTGTGAGTGGCAACCACTCGATGTGTCTCTCTTACATCGATGTTTCTCTCCCTCCCCCCATCCCTCCCACTTTATCTGAAGATAAATGCAAAATATGTCCTCAGGTGAGGAAGGAAGGAAGGAAGGAAGGAAGGAAGGAAGGAAGGGAGGGAGGGAGGGAGGGAGGGAGGGAAGAAAGAAAGAAAGAAAGAAAAAGAAGAGAGAAAGAAAGAGAGAGAAAGACAGAAAACAGAAAGGAGAGAGAAAGAAAGAAAAGAAAGAAAAAGAAAAAAGAAAGAAAGAAAGAAAGAAAGAAAGAAAGAAAGAAAGAAAGAAAGAAAGAAAGAAAGAAAGAAAGAAAGAGAAAGAAAGAGTCTGGATCCATTTATTTTTTCTTTTTTTTAAATCCTTACCCGAGGACATTTTTCCATTTATCTTCAGATAGAGTAGGAGGGAGG